GATGGCATTTGTGACATTGCCATGGTTTTTCATGCAGACCAATTTCAACCAATAAAAACTGCATATCTTTCCAGGCTACGTACAGAGGGAGAATACAGATGCTGCTGCACAATACAGGAAAACAAAATCACTCTCTCTTGTACAACTCTAGGCGTTCATGTAAGCCTCACTGTCATTAGAGGTATTACCCGAAATCATACATATGTACAATCATGTCATACATATGTACAATCATGCAAATATAGAAAAAATTAATCGGTACATACATACACACATACATGTAGAGGTACACTTAGCACCGTGATCCCGAGCTCTGTAATCTCCTCTAGCAGGCAGATATGAGGTGGTGAAAACCATCTGTAACTGGAATGAATTAGACAGCAGTTATCAATCACACTGGACATGCTCTCCCTCATAATAAATAATCTGCCTCACCATGGAGGCAGCCCACCGCTGCAATGTGCAAGAATGAGCGTCAGGTGACCATCACCAGACACACTTGCAAAAATAAATGTGGTTATGTGCGTTCGTTCAATTCTAGCTGTAATTTCAGGTCTTTGCAATGTATTTGCTTTACTCGAGCAGAATTCCAAGTTGGTTTATTTTTTTTTAGAGTACGCTAAACCTCGTTCTCAGTGCTGTGTCAGTGTTTAGAAGTCTTGCCTCAGGTGCAGCTTGCATCTGTAAAGAGATAAACCAACAACATCCTTACATCTTTGTCTTGCTTGCAGCTATTTCCAGTTCAAACATAACCCTATTTAACTGAATGTGATTAGAGGTTTAATACCCTAGGAGTAAAGAGACTATATTGTGCCATCTAAATACTTCCCCTTTGCTGAAAAACTGCATTGGTTCCACAAGATCACTAGATATGGTATGACTTTATTTTTATCTGCCACCAATCCAAATCCCGGACTCTGGAAAGTGTGAATAAAAATCTTTAGGTCAGAGTACATTGGAACCATGTGGCGCTCTCAAAACAACGAAATGAACAGAACTGTATGAAGCAGTATTGGGCGGCATCCATACAGCAGTGTTCATTTCACAGTGGTAATACACTGTGTGAAACAAAAGGCCTCTGCTTATCTCAGTTAAACTGTAATTACGCTCTGAGGTCACAAAGGGCAAATAAGCTCCTACTGTCTGGTATTTGGTGACAATGCAGAGCTACTGCAGCCCAGAAAGGATTATTCCAAGTGTTCCTGGGTCAATTTTTCACATGAATAGTTGCCAGAAAGTGGATTTGTGAGCATTTAATTGTGTATTGCACATTTCCTATTGTATAACATCAAGAAAAGTACAGTATAATTATTTGTCTGCACTGACTTCCATGGCAATGGTACCATGACTGTAAACTGCAAGGTAAATTTATAAAAATTGCAGTGCAATACACAAACATCTTTTTAAGTAAGTGAATTGCCAATGGTCTCAGAATATTTCTTTAAACAAAAAATTCTATTTGGTTTTCAATGATATCAGGGGAAGCACAAGAATTAGACCATGTTGTTAAAATAAAATTTACAATACCATAAGGGAGTATGGGTCAACATAAAATCAGAAACACCTGTGACTTAGGTTTTGTTGAGTGCCTATGTTATATAAGGGGCAGAATTCAGCCCTTCTGCTTCAGTGTTTTAGTGTTTCAATAACCAATGTGACTTTTTTCCATTACTTTTTTCCATGTTCTTTTTATTTCAGGCTGAAATAAGACACCCTTTGGCCAAACTTCAAAACGGTCTCGTCTTGAGTACAGCTGTTTATACCAATATCGATCAGCATGGATTGAAAAGCACATAAAAAGGTTTGTCTCGCCAGGAAATGCAATAGACACAGAATGCATGAAGCCCACGAATTCCATGAAGTGCTGGCTGAGCTCCAGTCTGTGGCCAGAAGGGCACTGGTCAAAGTGCAGAGATTGCTGGACCACGACACTCTTATCAAGGCAAAATGGTAAAACTTTCATCTGGAGAACTGCAACAAACAGCAGACTGTAAATGCTGTAACAGCTTAAAATACAAGCCTGGAATAAAAAAACAGCTCTTCTTTACATAAAATGATCTTCAAATCAGTTATCTGTGATTGGCTTTCATTTTTCTGGGTAAATTAACTTTTTTTGCTAAAATAGTGTATGAATTTGTGTCTGAAGTTGCAAGCTGAAATGCATCCATTAAAGCAAGTTTTGAGTGAGAATTTAACATAAATTAATGACCCAGTACTATTGGACAGCGTGGTTTCCTACACCAGCTGAAGATAACCAACCAAAACACGAGTGTAGCTGTTGTAGCGAATGGATTTCACCTGTAACAGTCAGGACTGGGTCTGGGTATAATAGCGTAAAAATGAGGCACATGGCTGGCCACTAATTTAATACCAGACAGTACCATCAGCAAAGAGATGCACTGGAAATGCAGAGCCCTATTAATAGAGCAAAAACAATGTAAGAACATATGGATAAGCAGCAAATTGATGGAATGTTTTGTGACAATTTAAGTAAAAACAATATCATAATGTGAAGAGTAAAAGTGATATACATAAGGGGCTAGTGGCTACACAGAAGATATTCTCACCATCATCCCCCTTTGTTAAAAAAACAACACAGATGCGTGGAGTACTTTTGTGCAGAAATGTGATTGTGAAATTTAATTTTGAATTTTATTGCATATGTTTGCATATTAATGTTTTTGTCTCGTGATAACAGCACTGAATTAATTTTTTTCTGTCTTCTTATGAAACGAGTTCAAATTTTAAATATTCTAAAATTTGGCTCAAACCGGATATGCTTGCCAAAATTGAATTCCTCTATCTTTCCCATCAAAGAACAACATGGTCTCACTGGCTTTGCACTCTTGGAAGGGTGATTCCTTTTGCATTCTTTAAACTATGAACAGCTCTGGAATTAAAGGGAACCCAAGCAGGCTGCTAATGAGAACAGATTCAGGGATATTTACTGAAAGCCACTGAAAGTATGAACTTTGCCATGAGGTCAACACCAAGGGCAAAAAAAGAGAAATGCTCTGGATCTATGATTACAGTGTTATACCTGACTTCTGTGTAGTTTGTTTGCAGCTGCTTGGGGTATTTGTTGAGACTACTTGTTGCTTTTGACAGAAAATACTTTAACACTATTAACCCTTTCGCACGTAACTTATTTTTATGCTATGTAGCTTGTGTGTTATGTTACATGGTTCGTTATGTTTTCATTAGCGTTATTAAGCTTCTCATAGTTTTCAGTTAGCATTTGCTATATTTTTTAATGTTAAATCGCTGTTTTCTCAAAGCTAAAATTAGGTAGAATTTTTCCAATCTAGTGTTCTAATCGCACCGGTTTTAGCATACGCGCTAAACGGCAAATCACACCGGTGTGGCCGTACGCGCGAAAGGGTTAACTCAGCTCAGCAGCAAAACAACAATCTCTCAACCCCTTATCAATATTTCATGGATGTTCATGTAACCTGTCACACTCATCCACATTCATGTACTGAAACCAACAAAACTGACAGTTGACTTTGTGTCAGCAGAGAGGACAATGTGATTTACGATGAGGGCTGGTTTTTCTATTCAACATTCGTTGTAGGCGACCGTCTGTCGGGGACAAACTGGTATTGGAGAGTACACTGTGATTCACAGCGCTGGAGAAGGCATTATTCCCATGTAGATACAGCATGGTCATGACCAGGGAGCCTTCCACCGTCTATGGAAGCTATGGAGCCTTGCAGACATGACCCCGCGTTCCCCCCACAATAAATCTACAGAGAGGTGCATTTCAAAGCAGGCCTGCCTGAGGCTGCTGTCTGAGGCTTGGGGTGTGACTGGGGGGGCCTTGCTGGGACCTGGACAGCTGTCTGCCCCTGTAACACTTGTCTCAAGATTGCAGAGGGGACCCCCCTTCGGGTGTGGCTCAGAGGGCCTAGTCATAGGCAGGCCCGCAGCTGCCACTGAGGTCGCACAGTCGCCTTGATGTCTGCGACCTTTGACCCCTCACTCCCAAGGAGGGCTGGGTAAATTTTCAGCTCTTGGCAGCATGCGTCTCTGGCTTGAAACTATAGATCAGTAATGACACCAGCCCACAGTCCACAGACCCTCAATAAATATCCATGCATGTCAGACCTAGAGTTCTCACAAGAACACTTATCTGATCGAGCCAGCTGTTTAAGCCACAACACAGACCTCACACATCAGTGACCTTGTTCCTGTCAAACACTAAACACCTAATCAACATTTACAATTAGTCATTTGGATGACACCCCCATCCAGAGTGACTTCCAAAGCCAAAGCTACAAAAGGTACATAAATTCACCTTTACTAATCTTATGTGGCTGTGTAAATAAAATGGCATAAACCTCTGTAGCACTAACCAGAGATACACTGAACTAAATTCCATGACCTCAGTCAAACCGCAGAGAGGAGCATATAGCCAGTTTTCACATCTGGGTAAACTGCAGTAAAACAGACCTTTTTAACACTACGTTCAAATTTGGGAACAAATAGCTGCCAAAGCAGTAAAAATGCTCATCATCCACATTGGCTCTCATACATCCTGGATGCACTGTAACATTTCTGTCCCTCTTAGGAATATGGGGAGTGATGACTTCATGAAGACAATGATTTTCAACCCTGTGTACAGAGTCCTGGTATCTCTCATATATATACCACTGATAACATCCATGTGGTAAAATGTTACTTGTAGTACTGTCAACTGGAATAAAATGAATGGGCAGTGTGGCCCATCATACGGATAAAATAAGCAATAAGGGCAGCGGAGGCTTAATAGCATGAAAAATCTCTTATTGATCTGATTTTGTTATTGCTTTGTATCATTAATGCCAACTTTACAAACAAATGTAAAAATACAGTCACCCAGTACATCCTTAAGTGGATCTACTGTGACACCATTACCTTTATAGCCTTGACTGAATGTAACTAATGTGCAGTTTGTTAACTACAACAAAATACTGGTATAGAGTCAGAAAACCTATTAAAGACTAATGGCCCATCTCATAAACAGTGTAGCTTAATGGTACAGAGTAGGGCTTGTACCCGAAAGGTTGCTGGTTCGATTCCCCACTGGGGCACTGCTGCTGTACCCTTGGGCAAGGTACTTAAGGCACAGTTGCCTCAGTAAATATCTAGATGTATAAATGGATAACATGTCAAAATAAATGTAAACCTATGTAAGCTGCTCTGGATAAGACGGTCTGCTAAATGACAATAATGTAATATAATCAAAACCATATTGCAACAGTGGGGGTCACATTAAATAATATCATTTAATGAGAATTAAACAAATGAAATGCTACCATGATAAACACAATCCAGCGAGAAGGGAATCAGCTGCTGACTGCTGATGCTCATTTAAAATGACAGACTTGTTAACCATGTAAAACAAATAAAAAACATGAGTTCAGGGCAATTAGCGGATCAAAGGGACATATTAGCCTCCTCTGATTTAAGATAATGAGCCTCTAACTGGGTCTCAGGCAGAAACATGCACTGGGATTATGGAAGTATAACACACTGGAGGATCAAGCCTGGAGCCAGAATCTTTACACTGCTGAGCCTACCGCCAGAAGAAGGAATGTTAAACCTCAAACACCAAACTCTTCCTTTTACCGCCAGCAGTCTCGAAGTTGACCCCCCCCCTCCCTCCTCCAACAAAAATAAGATAGTTGATGCCATAAAAAGCAACCTAGGCTTAAGCTTACATCTTATGACTCACTTCCTGCTACAGATGCAGCGACTACTGAGACGAATTTAGCAGTGAAATGATGTCATCCGAGCACAGTCACTACATATCCTTCAATCCTTCCCAGTGATCTGGAAAGCGGCCACGCCGTGTGACAGATAACGTTATGAATGCGGTTATTTACAGGGAGATCATTTCAAATCCACCACCAGGAACCGGTGGCTTTTTTTTGGTGGCTTTAAATAGCTCTGGAAGCTTGAGGAAGTGGCGTACTGAGGGCAAGGGTCCCTCCGGAGACTGAGCCCCCCGGTCTCCACGGTTTCCGTTCCCTGATGCTGTCTTCATTCTGGGCATTCTTATCAAGCGCGCTGGCGCTAAATCACTGGAGCGGGGAAGGGGGGAGGAGTGAAGGGCTTGTGCCGGCATTTGGCTTTCACCAGCCATGGAACCTAGCAGAGACTGTGTGGAGTTGAGGGTTAAGAATGCAAGAATGTAAGAATGTTTTTTTTTCATTGATTATGGTCAAGCCAACATCTGTGGGCTAAGATTGGATGGGGCTGTTATTACCACTGTGTTATTGACCATCCTCATGGTGCAGCCCAGTGTTTCTGGTGAGGAGAAATATCGCTTGTGACCGATCACCACCTGCTCATAGCTCAACAGCTTCACTTAGAGGAGCTGGAGTGGACACAGCCAGATTGATTTTTTTCTTGCCATTTTTTCCCCTACTGAAGCTGCACTACTTCTGTTTGACTGGCATGAATAAAAAGGCCAAAGCCTCAGAGTTGGGTACAGTGGTACAGTTCATGCAGAGCTAGTTCTATGTGGTCATGCAAATGTAGCCACAACAATATCATACAGAACCTCTCATAAAGCTCTCTGTGTTCTTTCCCCCTGCAATCTTCCAAGGAACAACTGGCAATACTCAAGGCTTGCCAAACAAACTAAGGGGCTGATTCATTCAAAGCGGTAAGCGGATTGGGTTTGTCTTTCAATAACACAATGTCTTTCAATAAGACAGTTTAAGACAGTGCACAAGCAAACATTTCCTTACATTTCACAAATTTGGTTATTTACTGCATGTCCTCAAGGACATCACTTTATTATTCTCTACAAGGGAGAGTTTTCGTGTCTCACTGTATAACTTGATGTCATTGGTTGATCAATAGATGTAACCACAAAAGCAATGTGATCCCTCCTGACCACAAGAATTTCTCTAATTCTCCTAAAATAACGGATTCCCGTACATTATGAGGTGAAGCCAGCTATTATTGAGGCTGTGGTGCAGCAGATACAATCTACACTCTGGGGAAGAGGGTAGAGTAGGAATTGCGAGGAAATGAGCAAGATAAAAAAGGAATTAAGCAGAAATGAAAAATTAAAGACATGAAAGGCAGAACGGTGACCTTTCATGAGGTCACTGAGAATCTTATCACTCAAGATCACTTTTATACTCTTTATACTCCCAGTATAAAACAAACATTTTTCCCTTGTATTTATTTCTTGTCCAGTGTAAGATGCAGAAAGAGAAACCAGTTCCTTTTAACAATATTTACTTGGTAAAGTCTACAATCACAGGTGAGTCTGAATGAAGTCAAAAATGTTTATTGGATGTCTCACTCCAGTGTCATTTGAGCATTGTTAAACTAACCTGTGTATTGTTCTTGACTTGTGTCAGAAGCATAGCTGGGTTTGGGCTGTGATTAGCTGAGGGGGCCTTGGACATTGTTAAACCGACTTGTGTTTTGTTCTTCAGTTGGGTGTCGGAAGCATAGCTGGGTTTGGGCTGTGATTAGCTGGGGGGGGCCTTGGAGGACGTCTGCAGGCTGCACCAGTTTTTTGCAGCTGTTACCTGATCCACAGCTCTCCCGCAGAGAGCTGGAGGCATCATTTGATGAGAGCGGAGTGATGCGCTGGACCGGCGACCCAAATGTGGTCACGGATGCCAAGGAACATACGGGGGGGGTCTGTTTGGCCTGACCCCCAGCACCCCTCAGCTCCCAGTGGGTACCCCCCCCCGTTTCCCTGCTACCTCACCTTCACACTGTGTCTTATCCAGGAGGCTAGAGAGCACATTTCAACAGCATGACTTCTCGGAATGTCTCTTGTGGAGTGGAGTGATAGGAACATACAAATTTAACAAATAATTTCATTCAGTTTTTTAATGAACTCTTGCATTCCATATATATATATATATATATATATATATATGCATGTATTCCAACTAGTTGAATAACATGTTGACGAAATCTTTCAGAAAAGAGTAGGAACGACCCTATTTTAGAACCCAAAATTTTGTCAGTGCACAGACATGCACACATTTTTTCGTGCAGAGGCTCAAACTCATACTGGTTTATAGCATTCCAGGGACGGTAGTGTTCTTATCAACAATTCCAGTAAGTCTTGCTTAAATATGGTATTCCAAGTTAAGGACAAAACCCTTGGCAAGCTGAACTGCACCAGGCTTCAAGTCTTCAGGTCAATATATTTCTCAAACAAGTAAGCAGTTAAAAGATACTTGAAGCGGAGACTTCACTTTTGATATTGCAACTCATTCTTTTAGCCAGGTCTTTGGCATGGTAGCAACTGGCACTGGCCAGCTCTCCAAAACTTCTCCATAATTCATGGGCAGAAGAGCACAACAGAAAAGAACACAGTCCCAGTGGGGAGCAGAGGTCAAGGAAAGAAAAGGCCGTTCTTTCATAACGTACTCGGTCCTGAGCTACAATGAATATTCAGCCAAGTGCATTTGAGCCCGGTAAACGCGTTGAGATCGGTCTGTCATTAACAGCCTCATTATGGACAGCACAGCCCTGCAGCTACTGACTCTTGACACAACGGTTTAATGTGTGGGAAATCTGTCATGGAATATAAACAGTCATTTATTGAAAGGTATTTTATTTTCAGTTATTTTTTAAGAATAGTTACAGGTGAGTGTAGATTCATGACTGGGTGATTGGAGTGGGGTGGGTTATTTTGTAGGGGCTGTCATTGGCAAGAAGAATAAGAAAACAGGAACAAAATTGGAGAAGAGCTTATGAGCGGTAATTCTATTAGCGATCCAGCTTCCTTTCTGCTGGTGCCTTCAAATAATGCAGTTTCTTCACTTTATGATGTGCTGTGAAATATGTCTGACAGATGGGCCAGCACATGGACAAGGGGACATTCCTCCATTATGCGAAAGAGAATCCGTTATGAAGTGGCGTCAGAATGGATTTCTGGATGATGGTGCGTCAGTAGAAACCTCAAAATTGTTGAATTACACAGAGAATTTGCTAAAGAACTAATGATTGTTTCTCACAAAGAGCCGCGCTTGCTAAGTCTCCATGCGTGCCCGCTCGAACCCAAAATGGCAGATTCAAAATCGTTTTACAAATGCCACTGACAACATTTGCAAATAACACATGTCAGAAGAGGCAACATCACCCAACACATTCCTGTCGTTTCCCCAAAAAGATGCAGAACACAGACATTTCCTCCAGTTCATCCAGTCTGTCTCAAAGCTACAGATTGTTTGACAGTTATGCTAAGCTTAGCTGTGGAAAGACTTTGATCGCTTGGGCTTGCTTTCTTTTCCTTAAATAATGTTAAATTGGAAAAATGGGCTCAACGGACATTTGGGAAAACAAACAAACAAAAAAAAGAAAACAAATGAAAAACATGTTGTGAAACAAACACGGCCAATGAGTGTCCGTTGCAAAAGTAATAACTGAGATCTTCCACACAAAAGGGTAAAAGGTCCAAAAGAGAAAATAAATCATTCAGATTCTTGCATTGTCAGTAGATGAATGAATCCATGTGAGACATTTGGTTTGATTCAATATTTTTAACAGCTGTATATTACTTCACCTAAATATACCAAAGTGCAATATTACTTTAATGCACTGAATATATATATAAATACATATAGAACATGTATGTATATGCAGAACAGTATACATATATTGCTGTACAGTATTCACATGTATTCGTACATAAAATATATGTGCTTAATAATTCATGAAAATGGTGAACAGAGAGAGAGCGCTGTATGTCAAATAATAGTATAACAATATATGTATATTATATTATTGTATAATGTATATATGTTGTATAATATGTATATTATATGCATATAATATTAATTATTATTCAGTGGGTGAGCCTTACTATAATATTAATATATATAACTTTAATACTTCTGTTCTCTTGTGCTGGAAGTCACTCTGGATAAGAGCATCTGCTAAATGAATGTAATGTAATATGTATTTTGCAAAATAAATGAAAAAAAGACACTGACTGTAGGCTTCAGTAGGTCAACCGTCAGAAACACAGTCCATGCGAGGAAGTGGCTGAAAGGAAAAGACCAAGGGCATGTAATGTGCATTTCTGTGAAAGATCAGCGGTG